CCGAAAAAACAGGCTTTGTTTTATGCAATATTTTGCACTGTATGCATATAATACTTACACTTAACTGCAATTTTCCCAAGTATTTTGACCTTTGCATTTGAGAAAAAAAATATTGTTGAAAAAATGGTATAACTGAATATGTCTAAAAAATACCAACCAAGCGTACGCCTGAACGACAGGCACTTTTTTGCCACTTTTCTGCACAATCACAGTCGGATATGGACCGAGTGGCACATCCTTCGGATCAGGCGGTATGCCAGTATATAAAAATGTATGAGAATGTGCTCCCACAACCAAATCGACTAGTGGACACTCTTTTGCTATCTCTTGATCTTTTTCGTAACCGGAATGACCCAATGCAATGATTATGTTGACGCCTTGTTTCCTCAATTTATCCGATTCTTCACTGTGAATTGAATGCAATAATAATCATTTTCTAAATTTAGCTCGTCATCAATTAATAGAGTGTATCAATTGATATTTTTAGCATGGATTTTATGTCATAACATTGGCATTGTCTTCTTTCTCGAAGCGAACAGCTGCAAAAGGTTTATCGAGCGGCAGACTTGAATTTATACTAAACCAGCAAGTACAAACAAATCTGCGATTAAAAACAAATCTATTTGCACTAATCAACGTCATTTGATTCAATTGACGAATCAATTGGTTTGACGAATAAAAATCTTGATCTTGTACACAATTCAATGTCTGTCTTATATTAATAATGCATAAAGTGTACATACTTGATTGCGCCAATTTCGGGTAAAACTCCCACATCCTCAGGTGTTGATAATGTGTGTAGATCATCAGTTATGTACCCGATGACACCGACCTTAAAACCTTTTATATTGAACACAACCGACCGCTCAAGTGCATGCGTTTGCCAGAGCGGATGATTCGTTGAAATATTCAAATTCGCCACTGCAATCGGGAAATTAATGTTTGCCAAGAACGGTACCAGTCCCTTTATGCCAAAATCGAATTCGTGGTTTCCAAGTGCCTGATTCAATGCGAAAAAAAAACAATTATTCATTTCGGTTCACTTAAACTGCTAAGAAATTACCAAAAATTTATTTTAGATCATTATTCTCACCCGAATGAACCATTTGCGGAGAAACCCAGTGCACAGTGGAGCTGTGTGGAGTTCAGCGGAGATACCGTACAAACGCTATAAGTGTGAGCAAAACAGCACTCTTTGCTGTGTTTACATTTCTATTGTTCAATGCACATCTAAGTAGCCATGAACGCACTGCTTCAGATATAGCGTATGTGTGGCATCTCCGCCGAACTCCGCAAATGCTCCACTGTACACTGATTTTTTTCTCGCAAATGGTTCATTATGGGCATTAACAATTTTTTTTTCGTTCCAAAATTAATAAATTCTACGGACACAAATATTCAAAATGATGATGAAACATTTCATTCGGCTAGTGTAATTTCCATATTTATAGGTACTGATTCCCAAACAAACAGGAAAAAAGGTGATACAAATTATCGTGACAAATAATAAAAACAAACTTGATACATTTTCGAATATTTGAATATCAACAATGATCCGGATAAAATTGTATATAAACACATAATAATAATTGCCCGTTGCAATGCCAACTCATACGGAAGTAATATAGATATTGACATTTGAATTTTTCCATTCGACACTTTTTTTAACTGTTTGGATCAAAATATTTTCTATTTTAAGGAGTTATTCCATTTCTTGAAGACTCATTAAAATCATACATTCTGACACCAAAAATTTCAGGTTGGAGAACAAAAAAAAAAAAAAGGTCATTGCTTTCAAAAATCGATTCTATCTAGTGTAAAACCGGTATCCAGAAAAAAGTGAGGACTAAAACAACAAAAAAGGTCCGAAAATGACAACGGGTCCAAAAAAATCGTTGGGGGTCAAATTTTGCCAGGGGGGGTCAGGATCAACGAGATCAGACTATGTCAGAACCTATGATTAAAATGGGAAATTTCAATGGATGACAAATCGAATGATGATTATTTTAGAAAATAAGGTTTTAAGTTTATTTTCGTCAAAATAATGAAGACCATTAACCCTCTAATGCATACAACCGCCTCGAGACGGGCAACATTTGAACGATTGTAGAACGTAAACCGCACATAGGATCACATTGCTTCAAAGGGAATTTTTTATTCGTCAATGTTTTCTCTTTATTTTTGCCTTAGCAATATTTGTCTATGTAGTGTGATTGTAAAGTTATCAACAAAAATGTGTGCAAAAACAAAAATTTGACAAAATAAATTATTCCAACTCCAAATTAGACACATTTTTGACACTTCTAAACAATGGACTTGATTGTTCTCTGATTTATGTCAATCGCATTTTCTGACTAAACCATGAGGAATCCAGGATTATGAATATTTTTTTAATTATATATGGCCAAAAATCAACCAAGTACCATTATTCCCAGCCTTGGGAAAAATTAATGCATTAGAGGGTTAAAAAGTTTAAGAGTTTAGGTAAATTAAACGAAAATTGCCCTTTAATTTTTTGAAACCTCCAACTACAAAAACGATTTTCATTCGCTTAACCGAAACACGTTTTTTTTAAATTTTATTTCGATCCACACACAAATTAGTCTCGTAAATAGTCTCATTATTAATAATAATTTATTATCGTACGATATATAAATGCTTTTTATTCGCACAATTCATTGCTGTATTTGAATTCGGTTTACACTTTTCTGCTCTAATTACTCCGACATTACCCAAGCATTGGACGACGGTTGGCAAGTGTTCATTTCAAAATGAGCTTAAAATTGTCAGGTGCAAATGTGCGCAGTACACAATTTCAGTGTGAAGGAAGATGTTGGTGTGTCACATTCTGAAGCAATTATATAGCTATAAACAATTACAGTTCTCGACAAACAATTGAACATCTTCTTCAAACATTGAACTGTATAAATTTTAACAATATAAATACTCACTCCAACATCGGGTTTCAAGGCATTCATGAAATCCACGGTAATTTTATCTTTGAACAATTGAAACCAAGGTGTCCCAACGTACGTATCGCCAGCATTCAGGAATAGAACTGGTAGCCCGTCTTTCTCTTGATCGCTGCGATAGCGTTTAACGAGTGTTGAAATGCGGGCAAAACCGCCGTAGCATTTGTTGGCAAAAGAATCCTCTGGACGACAGTCAGGACCATCGATGGTGGTTTCGGCGAAGCGACCGTGCAAATCGTTATTGTGCAATAGAATCAAATCCAATGCCGACTCTTCATTTTCCACTGGCAATGCATCGATAAATACAATCGAAACTAACACCAACACCAGCCCCGTTCGAATCGATTTCAACATCGTTTTTGCTCTGTTCTCAACACAAATTGGCACAAGTCACAAAATACACACCGTTCCACAACGATTGTCAAGAATGAATTGAACGATGAATCAAAGTTGTACATCCATCCATCAGATGCTGTTTCATTCGATTTTTACAGGCAAGCAATAAAATATAGACTTTTATCGACATCGCACTGCAAAACAGAGACAAAACCAAAAACAAAATTCAATATGTGCTCAACGACTGAAATAGAGATATTAAATATATTGCTACACTTTTTATGCGCGCCGCGCGCGTGTCGAATACTTAATTGCTGGTTGTATTATTTGTCATGTACGTGTGCCGTGCGCAATTTCAACGATGCGTTAACTCTTCCTCAGCAAATGTGATCTTGTTTGGTGTAAGCTCGTTTGTGACTGATTGATTTGTTGATTAACAATTGAACGGCTGAATATTGAACAGTAAATGAATTTGATTGGGTTTTGTTCATCGTGGTTCCCGTAAAATATGTGAAATTGGAAGCATTTTATTTTTATTAAAAACGGTGAAATGCAGACGAAGCCTATGTTAAGCGATTGGTTCAGCCTTGAGATAGATCTATTGCCGTCTTTCATAACGAACACCAATTGTGTTTCATTCTGTTATGTGAAACTGCAATAAAATAGATTTACATTTGATGAATCTTATCAGCAAACAATATGTTAATGTGATAAAACTTTTCTTAATCGCTGAACATTTCAATGGCCTATCTTTAACCTGAATCTAAGGTCAGTCAGTCATTTTTTTCCCACACGGGCTATTGTCGGAATGATATTTTGTTGTTGTTTTGAACCATTTTTTAAAAATATTTTTTGTTGATTTGGTATTCAAGTTAATGACATGACTCATCAATTTTCGATGATAAAGCAATCATTAACCAATATGCCCCTGGTGAATTGCTGTAGTTAAACAATGAACTTGAAGCCGCATTCAATTTGATGTACGTGCTTTTGGTTTTTTTTGGCAAATCGTCGCATTGGCTCGTGGCTATTCACTGTTCGTTGAACGATTTTGTCGATTACACAAACTTTCCACCGTAAACTACCAAATCCTAATACCAGAGTGGTTCGAATGTTTCCGATCGATCATATGAATATTTATTAATATTTCAATTGTCCCTTGAATTTTGTTTTAAAAATGAAAAGCATTGAGTTGTTTGCACTCCTTCAAAATCTTATTACTTTTCCGTACACAACGTGTCAAGGGAAAGTATAAGAATTGATCCCGAAAACTTTTTTCGCAAAATTAGCTTAGATCATCATAAAAACTCATGACACGCGTAGAAAACCACTTTTTGAGACACTTTTCCGTTCGTGTGCCGTCGTTGTCGTTGTCGTAGCTGTTTGTTAACACGATAACTCAAAAAATAATTGAGATAATCCAAATCTGAAAGTCCCAAAAGTTTTGTATCCAATAAACTTAGTTTAAGTTCGAAGATGAGCCATTTTCGATTTGACCCTAGGGTACTTGCTCCAAGAAAAACCTCAAAAAATTGACACTTTTGTATGGGAGGTACCTGTAAATCGACTCCGATTGGCTTCAAACTTTCTGGGATTTTTTGAGAAAAAAATAAGATTCTGAAAGTTTCATGTTGATCGCATTTGCAGAAGTTTGATTTTTTGTCCTCAATTTGTCGAAATTTTCTTGGGAAAAATCGAGGGCCAAAATACTTATTATATTTTTGTCGGTTGTACCATCGGCCATCAAAGTCAAATATGTCGACTCGTTCATTTCTGCAACAATATTTTCACGCAAAACGTTTGCAATGATGTGAATCAATTCGTTCTGGATCTGAGATGATGTATATAATGCGTTCCCAGGCATTGCATCTTGGCATTTTCGTAAATATTCATCACTTTCCAATGTGTATTGGAATAAACTTTTGAAGACGCCAATTTCATCGTTTTCATCGCTATCCCAATTTCCACGGAAAGGTAACTCACTCTTCACCAAAAATAAAATAGTTTTGACAATCGCTTTAAAGTAATATCGACGTTTCTCGAGTACTGTTTCGTTTAAGAGCGTCGATATCTCTTGATTTGTCGCCATTCTTGATTGACTCTCCTTCCAAGAGAGCATCGACCCAATGTGATTTGAGCTGGCGGCGTGTCTTTTCAATCCTTTTCCAGCACTTAATGCCGTTTTCCATGCATTGAACCCGCCGGAGGTAAAGACATCGTTGGCATTGATAATTGAGAACTGACGACACGGATAACAGTACATTTTATCAGTTTGTTTTGAATATTCAATCCATTCGAAAGAATCAACCCATTTTGGTTGGAACGACCGTCCATCGTCGTTTTTCGGAAACGAAAATCCTTGAAAACTTTGCGACGGTTTTTGCTCTCCCTTTTGAGCTATGTCTTTCGGCGCGGCATCAATAGATTTAGCTGGTGCGGATTTTTCAGCTGTCCGATCAACTGTAGCTTGATTATCTGTTGAACACAGCGTAGAAGCGGACGGCTGGTTAGTTTCACTGTCGCCTTGTGTAGATGGTTTTTGTTTTTTCGCTAACCAATCTTCCATCACCTGAACAAAAATCATACAAATGCACGGTTTTTATTATGAGCCTTAATGAATTTGTTCCAAGTAAAATTACCGTTTGGCCTGTCTTTCTTTTTTCACTTTTGTCGCTTTGTGATGTGGACATTTCGAACGACTTTAATAAACTGCCAAACACATCGCGATTAAAAGTAATGAAACCAAATATCGATTTTATCATTGTTTTTTCATACATTGCAAAAGATGCAAACTGAATCATTTCGAGAACCGAATGTAAACACTTTGGCATTTTATCTAAGTTTCGAAAAAATCACTTACGCTGTAATTATGCAAGCAAAGTGTCTGCTACGTTAAGAAAATTCATGACTGAGAGAAATTCAGTTCGATTTATATTCCAAATGGAAAAAAATCAATCGAAAAACTGTGGCGTTGATAAATGAATCGATAATTTTATAGACTCTGAACAACAACAAACGTTTTCGTTGTGACAAGCATACAATTTTTTTCTAAGAAATACGATTCTGTTTCTGTTTACATGAAATGTTGGTTTGAAATGAGTAGCGGAGTTTGGATCTATATATTTATTCTGTTCGCTTAAAATAAAGATCGAAACTCCGCCACTGATTCAAATCAACATTTCATGTAAACAGAAACAGAATAGTATTTCTTAGGGAAAAAATTGTATGCTTGTCACAACAAAAACGTTTGTTGTTCTTCATTAAAACAGAGTCCAATTCTATACAATTATCGATTCATTTATCAACGCCACAATTTTTCGATTGATTTTTTTTTAATTTTTAAAGTTTGAAAAAATCATTTTTATCTTTATATTTGGAAGCGCTTTTCAAATTCGAAGGCGCTCGAAGAACGCGAAAGGGCGCTGCGCGTCCTTTTGCGCCCCCGTGACTACGGCCCTGAAAACTGTGATGTGCTTATGGCGTCGTACGAGTCTGCGTTCGCATTTCTTGTGCGCGGCATAACTCAAACAATTCACAAGATAATTAAAATTCAAAAACGGTAAAAGTTTTGACATGTTGGGGCAAAGCCTCGGATTGATTTTGATTCCATTCTGATATTTCCATGTCGCACCAAGAGCCTCAGACTGATGACCCTAAAAATGGTATTTTTGTTTGAACAAATCGATAAATAAACCACTCAGAACTTCTTATACCTCATATCTGTGAATGGAACAATGTAAATGGGCACTATTCCTATCGACAGAAAGTTTCAGATTTCAAAAATACCCAATTTTGACTGATATACGTTCAAAATTGTTAACATTTAATGGGTACGTTTTACCACTTTTAGGTACTAGCTTTCTTTTATTTTTTGAGAGTCATGAAATGTTCAAATCAGTCAACCAATGGTTGAAATTGTTTATATTCGAATGTCTGAAGATAATTAAATCATAAAATAAACAATTTCTCAAAGATAAACTTATAAAATGCCGCTGGAACGATTCGCCCCATGGGGTGGAACGATTCGCCCCACCGTTTTTTGCAGAGCCTGAAATTAAGGCACTCGCCCGAAGAGCAATATCAGACCCGAAAAGAGGTCAAATCAAAAAGTGTTCTTCTATAAAAGTTAGGTATTGACTCTAGCTACAAGATGAAACCAAATTTTCATGATTTTTTTTAAATTTTTTGGAACGATTCGCCCCACCTTACCCAATTTTTTCTCCAAAAAATGAAACCTTAGAAAGTTTAAAGTCAATAAGAATTGGTTTACGGGTACCTCTCATACAAAATTGTCGAAGTTTTAGTTAAAGTGACCGATTTTTCACTTTATTTTTATTATTATATTTTCACTGTCTTTATTTCAAGAAAAGTCACAAAAAATAACCAAAAGTGCCCGTTGGCCTAACGGTACGGAAAAGTTCGGGATTACCAATGTAATTCTTTTTATTTTTGATTAAACCATTGTTTTTCATATGTAAACATCAACAAAATTCAAAAAATTACGGAATAACATTGATTTGCTTATTGAAATTGCGGGCGCTCGCGTCATTTCAGTTTTTTTTAGGTCTTAGCTTCCACCCAATGATTCGCTTATTATTGAATTAGTTGACTGACAAGGACTACAACTGCAAGTACAGCCACCGAAATTGATGTGGTTGAAGCTTGACTTTCGCTATGCCCAACAAATTTTATACGATTCTCGATTGCTGGATAGATCAATCCATGATGCTTGATGTAATTAGTAACCGCTTCCAATGAGTTCATCTTCATACTGATTGGTTTGTAAGGCTGAAATAAAAATATGACACTCGAAAGAATAAGAATTAAAAACATCCCAAATACAAAAGGTACAAGATTGGAAGAAGTCCTTTAAAGCATTATAAACGCAAGCAAAAAAAATTGCTATGTTTACAAAAAATAATTCATTTAACTCACCAGAAACATAGTAAATCCTTCTTCACCTTTGTAAATTCCTTTATATATGTATTCTTCAATGATAACACCATAAATGCGTTCCTCATTAAGGGGTTCAAATGAAGGAATTTTGCACTTTGAACACAAAACTTCCACTGATTGCAAACGTTGGCCAGGCATTTTGTGAAGATCGTATACGACCCGTGCACCGGACATTTGAAATAGTGTGCTTGCATGCACATCATTGCCCACAACATAATCTTGAACGCAACGTTCTAAAGCTGCATGTAAAACCTTTCCAGGGACTCTTATCACAAATAAAGTATTATTGAATGGTATTATTGTTGATAATGTGAATTTTGAAATGTTTCCAACGGCCGCTGACGACCGAATTGCTCCACCAGTGACCAAAGCCAGCGATGCATCCGTCCAACCGGATCCTGAATCACTGGATTCCTGGAACTGTTGCACACGATTATATACCCATGCGTCAGTGATCAAGTTGCCTATATTGCATTCAGTTGTGGTACATTTCCTTTCCAATGGCACGGCGGAGAAGCCAACTATGTCATTAGTAAGAGCTTCGACCGCTGGACGATATTTGGCTAACAATTCTAAAACTACTGGATCACGCGGGATTTTATTATCCAACAGTATTGGGCTACCATCCCATCGGAGCAAATTACCATCTTTGTCAAACTGTAATAAAAGAAGAAAAATCAAATGTAGATAAATGAAACATATCAAATATTTAAATAAGTCTTATCAAATAAAAATAGTGTTTTAAATTGCCATAAATTTGTTTCGTCTAAAGAAACACACGAAAAAAGACATTATTAAGTGTTATTCTTTGTTTATATTGAAGCACATTTATCAACACGTATTTAAAATGATAATAATCATGAAACCTTTATGATTTTATGCCAGAGCCCGTTTTTTCGGGATCTTCCTCTTCTTCTTATTGTGAAATTAATGTTCATTTTATTGAATGCAATGT